GTCAAATACTTCCATGCAACAGATCCTCAAGGTTTCACACCCCTTCCCCCTCCCAGCTGTTAACCTGTCACCACCTCTTGAAATTTCAGCACAACATGGAGGTAAAGAAAGAGACGGAAAGTAGGTAAACCCCAAATACAAAATGAAGATGGCTGCCTGACGTAGAGAATCCCCTAGTAACCTAATTCTTAAGGAGCACAGAGAAAGCCTCCAAACTATCACACAAATGCATACTGATTTTTCTTCAGCACTGAACGCAATACTGAATAATTTTTTTGTGCTTTAAAGTTAACGCTGCAGTAAAGTTTAGTTCAAGCAACAGTTGATAGAATACCCCAAAGAGAAGACCTGTTTATTAGACTGCTGTTAAGTGTGGCCAAGTTTAGGACCTTACTGTCTTGTCAATCTTTTATGCATAATAAAGGCAAGTTCAGTGGTTCTGGGATGATAAAATTCGACAGTTCTGCAGTACTCAGATACTACTGTGATGAAGACCAGATGGATGCACTGGCAGATACTGCAGTAGAATTCCATGGCTGTTAAATAATCCAAAATGGGAAATATTTTGCAGAGTCAATGCAAATAAGGAGGTTGGAAGGCTGAAATATAACTTTTAATTGGGATAACACTTATGCATTAGAAAGAAGCATGTTCCTACAAGAAGGGCAAGATTGGTTTATCATAGCTTGCGTAGTATGATGCCTGCATATGTGTGTCACTGCCCTCTAGTGGAAGGAATACATGATCGAGACCTACTGCTTCTTTAGCTTACCACATAGAGCCAAAGGTTCAGTTTCTGATTTTTTTAGCTATAGTTAACTAATGACCACAATGTCCATATGGACATACTCACAGATCAAGGAGAACAAGCTTGCCAGTGGGCACTTTGGGCTTAATCCAAATCAATCGAGTTATAATTAATATTATAACTAAGGTTTAATATGGGAAGCCTTAGATCTGATAATTATTTGATCTGAAGAAATCATGACTGCTAAAAATGACAGTAACGTAAAAGTGGTTGATTTGGAGAAAACTACTAAGCACATGGTGAACCCTAACTGGAATACTGTAAGACAGGGATGTCTTTAGGTCCAAAATCGTAAGATCTAGTCAGCATTGATGCTACTAGGAAGCTGCAAGGCATTGACACTGTTCATTCCACCATTCATGGTCCTCATTCCCATCAGTTGTGTGGTCTCCAATGAGTTCTCAGTGCTTAACATGCTACAAGAGTGCCCTGTTCCAAGTGGCTGTGCCTAACAAGCTTTCCACATCCTTTCCACAGATCTCATGAAATTTGATGACATAGTCACTGCCCTCTAGTGGGCAGTGTTGATGATCCTGATCCCAGACCCTGGGTTGACCCAAAGAGTTGACGACAAAATTCCCAGTCACCAGAAGAAAATTCACATAAGATATTACACAAACCCAGTCTTTCCTGCCAAAGTCCATGGGGGTTGGACCTGATGATCTGTAAGGTCCCTTCCAGCCCCTAACAAAATGAAACTATGAAGCAGCATGCACTGGGAAGGCACAGTTCTTTGGGTAAATGTGATATCTTTTATTAGATCAACTGAGTAGTTGGTAAAAAGTTTTTTGCAAGCTTTTGGGTGCAATCACCCTTCTTCGGGCATAGGAAGTCTCTGCTGAGACTCCAGGGAATAAGAGAAGCTAAAAGTGTGACAGGATGTCAGTGGGAATGTAAGTAGGTGGAAATGAGGAAAACAAAAGGAAAAGCAGGAAAGGGAGGAGGGGAAAATGAGGGGGGGAGGAAGAAAGACAAAACTGAGTAAGGGAGACACTACAGTAGTAGATTTTCAAGGTAGAAAAGAGGCTGTCTGAAAAAGTAAATAGCTGGAAATTAGGAAGACAAAGGGCAGAAAAGGAGGGGAAGAGAGGGGAGGAAGGAGGGATGAAAGAAAAGTGTTAGAGGTCAGGTCTGGCAGATACCTGGTGAATCAGATGTCAGGCAGGTTGTAATGTGTCATAAATCCAATGTCTATACTGAGTCCATTATTTTTTGTATAGATTTATGAAGTGAAGTTCATAGGCTCGTCTATGAAAGGTGTTTTGTAAGTTCCCTTTGAGGATTAGAACTGAGAGATCAGAGAGGGAGTGACTGTCTTGTGAGCAGTGTGCACCCACAGGTAATTGGGTATTCTTGTCTTTGATAGATTTTGGGTGTGCGTTCATTCTGGTATGCAGTTGTTTTTTGGTTTTTCCTACATATTTTCCATCAGGGCATTTGGTGCACATACGGAGATCTGAATATAACACCATTGTACATAGCACTTCTCAAATGAGGCACAAGGACATCACTCAAGCTACAATTTATCACAGAAGTAAAATGGGAGTCTCAGTTGGGAGTCTCTGTTGTAGTGTGTGGCAGGGATTAGTCATATGACCACTCTGTATGAGAGATTTTCACACATGGACCATCTCCTCACCTCCCAATGTCTCAGTCTGCCTGCTAGATGGTTCTCAAAATATTTTAGGCTGCAACCCATCAGGATGGGCAGACACTGCTCATCCACAGACACGGGATAGATCTACTGCAAATAAAAATGGTAACATTTTAAAATCATTGCCAATGTTTAATTGGCAAATCATCCCACTTAAGTCAGAACCCAAGCAATGCAACCAAGAAACAGAGAGTGGTTAGCCTGCATTTCTAGTTATTGAGGCAAGAGGACCAGAGGTCCATAAAAATAAGCAGATGTTAAGTCAATAACTAGAGAAGAGAAATACTGAAAATTTGACTGTAGAGAATGTTTGAATTCATATGAGTTCTTTACAATACATAGAGAATAAAATAACATGATGGTCTAACTAAGCATTTATACAGTAGCAGGAACTGAAGTACAGAAAAGGGCAATTTCTTGCCTGCAAATTATATTCCCTCAAGCTTTACATTCAGCAATCCACCTTTCTGAAAAATCAGCAGTCCCACCCCACTCAGCATGTTTCTACAGGCTACCAATTAAATTCTGGAAAACAGAGAAGCTGACACATCTTAAACAGAAACGGCTGTAATCTCCAGAGACGAAAACTCCCTATACGTTATAGTAGAAGAGAAAACTGAAAATGTAGTAGAGACAAAAGTAAAGATAAGCCAGGTCACTCTGTTAATGACTGTAAGGCACAGGAGCAAAAAATCATTTACAGGTATGAAATAACACACTGTTCTTGTCTACATCCACAGACAAAATAGACTAGAATAACTGCATGCAACAGTGCACAATAACCAATCTATTTACACATTTATATAAACATAAGTTTATATAAATATCAAACTTTGATGTCAGTCACCATGGTAGATGTGTCCACTGGCTTCACAGCCCATTAGTCATTGTGTTCAACTTGCCTTGTGATATGGGTGCGGGAGGAAACAACAGGTTTGGGGCCGCTCGTTCAGAGACTAAAAAACAAAGGCAAGAGCTGGAAGTACATATTCCTTCATCAAGGATCAGATGAAATGTCTGTAGGAGGATGCACTAAGAAATGAAGGAATGCTTCAGTATCACAGGACAGGACAAGACCCCTTGCTCGCCACCTCGAATTACTCTTGCCTGTTCTGAAGCAGCACTTGGCTCTTTCTCTCCTGTGCAGAAGGGGGCTCAGCAATCTCCAGGCTAGCATTTACACCATTCCTCCACTGAGAACTATCTGCTGGTCCAAGGAGTTTCATGAAATGAAAGAGTGCACAGTGGATAGATAGGTAAGGAGCAAGTGGGCTGAGGTGAACAACAAAGAGTACACACAAAAGACCACGATAAGGAAAAACGTCTTTACAAGTCAAGTGCCGAGGGTCAGGAACAGACTCCCCCAAGAGGCAGTAGTCGCCCACTCTGGTGATCTTCAAAAAGTGTCTTGACACCCACTTCGGTGGAGTCATCTGACCCCAGCAGTCTTACCTGCCCAAGCACAGGGGAGCTGGACCCAACGATCTTGTAAGGTCCCTTCCAGCCCCTAACAACTATGAATCTATGAATGGGGTTTTCATACCATCATGCAGTCAGGCTGATGTGGAAAGTCAGAACTGGCATGGAAACATGAGGCCTCTGCACAGCTGGCTCTGGTTTGGGTCCAACCTGTTCTGCAAGGGTGGGGGTGGGGGTGTGAGTGTGAGAGAGAAAGGTGGGGGGGAGTCTACACTTCCTATGAAGCACTAGGAAAAATTCCACATAGCGATTTTGTGCGACTCTCTTTAGCGCTCCGACAGGTTTTCTTTGGAACAAAGCAGCCAATCCTTTACACTAAAACCAGCATCTAAAATCTGAAGTTCTCCATTTGTTGGGTGCCAAGAATAAAGAATGGACTCCAGAGAAATACCCCCTTCATCTTTCTCAACTAAAAACCTGACCAGTCCACCCCTCACCTGAGATCCCCCTTTAAAGAGGGACTGGGGAAAAGAAACAATACTACTCATTAGAAAAAAGCAGCTGTAAATCTCTTGATTGCCGTGTCCACGTTCTCGATTGCTACCCAGTGTTCGCCCCACGAGAAGGCTCCTTCAAGAGTCATTCTGATAATTCACTTGTTTAATCAGGGATCACTTTGGACCTTTCAACGTTAGCAACTGCCACTAGGTTTTTTTTAAGTACAGTATTGCACTTGACCAGATTTGTCTGGGATGGTTTAGTCAGGGACGATCCGGCCTTGAGCAGGAGGCTGGACTAGACGACCTTGTGAGGTCCCTTCCAGCTCTACTTTCCTATGATTCCTACTTAGAGCTACTTCACTAATTAAATACTACAGTAACTGATGCTGAAGAAAAGACATAGAGCCAAATGGTGCAACTCAGAATAGCTTCGCTGATTTTTTCACCAGTTCACACCAGCTGAGATTTTTGCCTTCAAGCCAGGCAGTTGTCTTAGAAGCCTCTTCTTACTGTGCAACTGCCAAAACATGCCCCTACTCCTGCTTTAAAGAGCTAATAAGCATAGTAATATGATTCTTGCTAGGAAGTAATCAGCATACAAAGCCATCGTGAATGGTACTGTCCTCTCAACACAGTGCAGTAAATGAGCTTGCAAAGAGTCTACATTGCTTCCCAGCCTCAGATAGGGTGGTCTTCTGAGGTCAGAGTTGAACCCATTAGCAGAATAGTGAGGGGAAGCAGTTTGCAGCTGTTGGCATGATACATATCTTGTGAATAAATAAACTTAATTTTCCAGTCCTGCTGTTCTCTAAACATCTAGAGATATGCATTCACTCAGAAGCATTTCAAAAATAAACAAAAAGTGCTGTTTGACGGGATCCTCCTATAGCTAAAATCCTGTGTCACGAGACATCAGCCGTTCAGAAGATTTATTATTCTCCATGCCCCCATCAAACATCTTTGTTCTTAAGGAACTGTTGTGATCATCTAATTTTTTGGAGTAAGAGATGCCTAATGGAAGAGTATCCTAACACTGAAACAAATGTACTTTCGAGGAGGTAAATAGGTACATGCAGCACAACTTTAAATTAGTTTAAAACACAATCTCCAACATAGGTGGGTAACATACAATAGTTTCAAGACTAGCAAAATAGTCTCAGATCCGTAAATCTCTTTTTCAGCCCTCTTCAAAAGAATGGGTCGATGACAGATATTTTTTCCTCTTTACCATGGTGATAGGCCTTCTTCCAAATTATTACAGAGCATCCTTTAAAGAGCAGACTGCAGGATAGCTTAGGGATACCCACAGTAGCATTCAAATAGCTATCTATGGAAGAACAGGAAAAAAATCAGTCTGCCCTGGGTTCCAAGCTGCCACAACTAGACAGGTCTGGTAAAATGTGAGGCCCTCTACTACATGGCAATAAGTAGTGTAGACATGACCTGTGCTTTCCAGTAAGGAGGGACCCATTGTGACAGTGTGGCTCTTGATGGGAGTAAAGTAAGGAGAAGGAGTAAAGTAACAAGGAATAAAAACCCCTCTGGATTCATCTGAAAACAGGGGTGGGAGCTTTTCGGAGGTCTCATGGTCTGTGGACCACAGGCAATCTGCAAAGTGTTTTCTAGCATGCTGAGGGGGGCTGGATGGACAACACCTGGTGCTGACTCCTCATTGTTTCCAGCTGCAAAACTGTATGAAGACAGATACAAATGGATTTGGCACTTTCCTCCTACCCCTATTCCATGTAAGCAATCTTCGTAGTAGCCACTGAAGTGTTGTATGGTTCCCAGAGCAGGTGTTATATGAGAGAACTCATTGGATCACTGGAAGTTTTGGGAGTAAATCTGAGATATGCTCCAGATTTCCACTGAGCTGTGCTCATATGAAGTGTCTCTCTTCCTCTCTGCAGCTATGCTCACCATTCTTCCCGACTCCAGGAAGCACAGACTGCCTCAGTTCTAAGCAGGAGCAATCCCTTGATTTGAGGATGACAGTCTTCCAGTAAATAGAGAAGTCATCAGTGAGTCCAGAGATGACTGAAAAGGCTAATCCAAGATTCACGTGTTTGACTACAGACATGGCAAACAGTTCTGGGAGGACAGAGTGAGCCCTGGTGATGCTGAGTCACATCTCTTTCCCTTTGATTCTCTTATCTATCTGCCTCCGTAGTGAGGCAAAAATGATCAATGCCTAGTTATACACCACACTACCATTGGGGATGATTCAGTGCTCACATCTCCCAGGTATTGATGTTAATATTGCATTACTTCAGATTGGCCTTCAAGGTATCCTTGACTCTCTTTTGTGCACCCCTGGAGCCATGATCATTGGTGAGCTGGGAATATAAGACCTGTTTCAGGCACTGATTGTCAGCTATCCTTATATATCCTGTCCAATGCAGCTGGTGCCACACAAACATGGCTTCAATGCTGGTGGTGTCTGCTTGAGCCAAAACACTGGCATTCGTTCTTCTGTCCTTCCAATCAATGTGAAGGATTTTCCAAAGACATCACTGATGGTCACATTCTAAGGCTTTCAGGTATTTCTGATATGTTGTCCAAATTTCACTCAGTTTGGGTGAGGCAACAAGAGCTGCTCCTATTTCAGGCAATCATGAAGAAGAGTAGAGGCAGGACCTCCATGCTATGAGAACCCCTCTCTTAAAGCTCTACATCACGATTCTGGCTCATGCAGAGCAGTACCTTAATTCCCATGATAAAGACACTCCTTGGCATGAGTAAGAACCCCAGGATCCAACATTTTACTTGTAGGTATTTCAATGGCATTCTAGAGATCCTGCTAGCTGCACCATTTCTGAGACAAAAGTGTGAAGGACCTGTGCCCTCTGGGATAAATTCCCATGGACCTCTGCTCTGCTGCCATAAGCAGTTCCCTGGAAACACTCTCTGCTTGTTGCAGTATATGTAGATAACCTCCCTAGGACTTCAGAGGGAATGCTAAAACAGGCTGCAATGTGTTTCTACAGAAGAGTAATGCATAGAAGGCATATGAGGGAGTGAAGAAGGGAGGTACTGGTGGTTCAGATTAGATAGAAAGTCTTGTTTTCTGTGGACTCAGGGCAGTGAAATACAATTAATTGCCTTTAACATTGTAATATTTTGACCTCATTTCACCCATGGAGCCTGGTTATATAAGTAATGGGGATTACTTACGTAGGAGTATAGTGTGATCTTTGTTGTTTTCAGGGTATGTAATTTAATGAGGGAGAACTAGGCCTGCTATACTAACAACATATAACCTTGAGGTGTATCTACCAGTTTATTATTTATAGAGGCCCTATTAACTCTGTCTCAACACCTCACAATCTTAACAAGATCGTAAGGGAGGACAGTACTATCATCCCCATTTCTCAGATCAGGAACAGAGGCTCAAAGAGGTTAAATAAATTGGCATAGGAAGACTATGGTAGGGTAAGTGTAGCAGGACACTGGGTTGTACCCAGTCCTTTAAGAGAACAAGCAGCTGGAGAGACAGTTTGTAGGTGGCAAAGGGGAATTAATTAGAGATTCACTTGACTAGCAGCAGACTAGAGCTATATAAGCCCTATATAAGCAGTGGGTTGGAGCAATATAAGACCTGGACCTGAGCCAGTGAGGCAGTCCAGCCCTGGAAGCCATAAAGTGAGGAGCTCCTAGCATCAGAACACCTGAATACTGAAAGAAAGCAACTGTGCAACATGGTGAGAAAGGGAAGGTACCTGGGGCAGACAGGGGCTTGTTTATAAGGGCAGGTTGCCCTGGTTTATGTTAAGCCCAGAGAAGGCTTGAGCACCTGCCAGTTGTATCAGTAATTTAGCCTGGAGCCCTGCGAAGACAGGCAAGTCCTACTTAAAGGTCCAGAAGCCCAAGAGTGGCTAAGAGTGGAACCCAGCAAGGGGTACTGAAGCCCAGCAGTTGGGGATCAAGGGATCCACAAGCCCAAGACCCCAAGATGGGCTGAGGTTATGATCAGGGAATCCAGGTGCACAAAACAGGTCTGAGTAAGAGAGACCAAAGGAGGTCTAAAGACAGGGGGAGTATCTGAGTGCAGGATCTGGAGGTTCAGGAGTCAGGGAATGACTGAAAGTAGAACCCATGGGTCCATGGGCCTGGAGAAGGGCCGAGAGCTAGACACAAGCCCAAGAGGGCCTGTGAGCCTGACAAGAGAGTCCAAGAGCTCAGAGAAGAGGCAGAAAGGGGGGCTGAGTGTGGGACTAGGGTCCAAGAACCCAGAGGAGGGACTGAGCATGAGACCAGAGTCTGAGAGCCCAGGACATGGCCATGTGTGGGACCTGAAGGTCTAAGAGTCCATACGTGGGCTATATAGGTGACCAGAGGGTCCAATACCCCAGAGGAAGGGGCTGAGAATATTTCAGAGAATATTGTTGATGGATAATACCTGCGAGGCTCGGGGTATGGTGTAGGGGTAGAATGGAGCCATTCAATTACCCCTTAAGGCTACTGGTACCCAGGAGAGGCATGGGTAGGCTGAGAGGACCTGTTGAGCCTGAGGGCTAAGTTGAGACTTGTGGGGTCCAGGGGACACCTGATGGAGATTTGCCACAACTGAGGCTCACTCTAAGGCCCGTGGGCAGCCTCCCTTAAACTCTAATAAGAGCAAGGAGAGGCAGATAACCAATCGACGGAGGGTGATGTTAGAGTCAAAGCTGGGTAGGAGCCATGTGGCCACCGGGGGGTATTATGGCCTTCCCTGTGGCTTGGACCTGCTACAGTAGGGAACTGAACTGGTGCCTCAAGAGCCTCAGACTAGTTCCTTAATAGCTGGACAATTCTTCCTTTTGTTAGCATTGCTGGAGACATAAAGGCTCAGCTAGGGATTTTCCTACTGTGCTTTCAGATAGATGTGAATGCCTTACAGTTTGCTTGTCTGGTGGTGATGAAATTCTGTGGTACTGGGTGATAGTGGTAGCTGTTAGAGTGGCACTTTCTCATATTTTGGACTTAACATGTGGCATGTTTGCCAAAAAGATTGGCCACCACTGTGCTACAGATTCTTATCTACATTACCTGGATTAGCTTTTGTGACCCCTTTGTCCTTATAAGTTTTACTCATTTGCCTCTCTCAGCACTGTTGACCGTCCCCTCCTCTTTCCTTCCTTCCCTTCCTCCTTTCTCCCTTCCCAGTCTTCACTATGCAGATTACTTTCTCTGTTTAATATGCTGCTCTGTGCACGTCCTTTCACAGCATCTGATGAAGTGATATCAGGCTCATAAAAGCTTATGCTCTGCATCTCTGACTTAGATCATCTATAAGGCACACATCTACCCTGCTTTCTACCACTGGTCTAGCTATTACCATAAAAAGTGTTAGCAGCTTCCTATGAACACCTTTACTTTTGCCGTTACATCTTTATACTTTTCCCAGGAAGTTTAATGATGGGTTGTTATACATTGCTTGGTTCCAGTATTGGTCTGTGCTAGGTACTATACAAATACATAGGAATATGTAAGTCTGTGAGACTACTCATTGAAGTGCTGTCTTTCTACTTACCAAGAGGGTTTGGCTTTCTCTTTTCAAGTCAGTGAAAACTTTGTTTCCAAGTATGGCCTTTTAGTCAGCTTCTCTTTTGCTAAAAATTACCCCTTTAAACATCAAACACAGGAGGTATGCAGTCCCACTAGGGGAAATGCCCTACTTGACTTGGTGCTGGCCACAGGGGAGGACTTGGTGGGGGATCTACAGGTACAAGGTCACCTAGGGCAGTGCTTCTCAAAGTGGTGATCCGAAGACCGGTGCCAGTCCATGGGCCACCGGTCGCCGGTCTGCAGCAAGTTGCCAGGAAAGAAAGAAATATATTCGCTGGTCCACAGCCAGTTGCCAGGAAAGAAAGAAATATATTTTCAGAAGCATAACACTGATATGTCATAGTGCCACAGTTTGTACGTTCCAACACTCCAGGGGACGTCACGTCATGCAAGGTGAGGAAAGAGAAAGAAACAACCAGTCGCACATTTGTGTAGCACTGTTACACGCAGTTGCTGCCACCGGCTGAACTGGTCTCTGGCCCACTGGAAAAAAAATTGCCAATCTGCCACATCAGTTTGAGAAGCACTAACCTAAGGGATAGTGATCACCAGTTGATAGGATTCACTATCCAGCAACAGGTGGGAAAGAGAACTAGTAGGGCAGAAGTGCTAGGCTTCCAGAAAGCCAACTTCAATGAGCTCAGGAGATTAGTTATAGTGGGACTGAGAGGTAATCAGATATGTGAGTTGGGAGGTCCAAGAAGGGTGGGAGTTCCTCAAGGGACTGATCCTGCGGGCAAAGAGGGGTACAATCCCAGTTCACACAGAGAGGCAAAAGAGCCAAAAACCTTCTTGGCTGAACAGGGAAATCCACAAGAGCCTCAGAGGAAAAGAGAGGCTTACCAACTGTGGAAGTGGGGGGCGGCCACCGAGGAAGAGTACACCTGCTTGGCTTGTGCTTGCAGGAAGCAGTGAGGAAGGCCAAAGCAGATACAGAAAAGTTGGCAACAAAGATTAAGGGTAACAAAAAGTCCTTCTTTAAGTACATAGGGAGCACGGTAACACAGGGCCTCTACAGAATGGACTAAGACAATTCATAACAGACAGGATGGATAAAGTGGAGTTTTTAAATGATTTCTTTGCATCTGTGCTCCTGGACACGGATACAAACGCACCTCCCAATAAGACTTCAGTCTGGCGTGAGAGAAATACCAATCCACCTATGGTTAGCGCTGACCTAGTAAAGGTGCACTTGGAGGGGTTGGACATATTTAAGTCAACGGGCCCTGATGATCTTCACCCAAGGGTACTAAAGGAATTAGCCGAAGTCATAGCGAAACCACTGGCACAACTGGTTGAGTGCTTGTGGCGCTCAGGCCAGGTCCCAGGGAACTGGAAAAGGGCCAATGTGGTTCTTATTTTCAAGAAGGGGAGGAAGGAGGACCCGGGTAATTATAGGCTGGTTAGCATCACCTCTATTCTTGGCAGGACCTTAGAAAAAATTATAAAGGGTCACGTTTGTGAGGGGCAAGCGGGTAATACAATGTTAAGGGGAAACCAGCATGGGTTTATAGCAGGCAGATCCTGACTAACTAACATGGTCTTTTTTTATGACCAGGTCATGAAGTGCTCTAGATGCAGGGGTGGAGATAGATGTTAGTTACTTGGACTTTAAAAAGGCTTTTGACACAGTGTTGCACCCAGTTCTTACAAGCAAACTGAGTAGCTGTGGTATGGATTTTTTCATAGTAAGGTGGGTGAAAAACTGGCTTATGGGACACACCCAGAGAGTGGTGGTGGATGGGTCAGTTTCTCCCGGGAGAGATGTGAGCAGTGGTGTCCTCCAGGACTCTGTCCTTGGACCAGTACTGTTCAATATCTTCATCAGTGATTTGGATGAAGGTGTTGAAACCACTATCCAAATTTGCAGACGACACCAAACTATGGGATATAGTAAACACACTGGAGGGCAGGGAGCAAATTCAGGAGGATTTGGACAGACTGGGGAAGTGAGTGGGTCAGAATAGGATGCAACTTAAGAGGGATAAGTGCAAGGTGATGCACCTGGGGAGAAAGTATCTCCAATACACCTATAGACTGGGAAGTACCATTCTGAGTACCACAGCAACGGAGAGGGATCTCAGAGTCATGGCTGACGCAAAAATGAACATGAGTCACCAATGTGACAAGGTAATTTTTAAGGCCAACCGTACTCTTTCTTGCATCAGTAGGTGTATCACAAGCAGGTCTAAGGAGGTGATACTTCCCCTCTAGGTGGCATTGGTAAGACCACAGCTGGAGTACTGTGTCCAATTTTGGGTGCTGCACTTCAAGAGGGACATGGACAACCTTGAGACGATTCAGAGGAGGTCTACTCATATGGTTCATAGGATCTTACCTACAGGCTGTCAACCAGTATAGTATAGGGGATACTCTGTTTACCAGGGCACCTCTCGAGGTTAATAGAAATAACAGCCACAAACTGAAGGAGAGTAGATTTAGATTGGATATCAGGAAGAAATCTTTACGGTGAAGGTTGCCAAAATATGGGATGGGCTTCCAAGGGAGGTGATGCTTCCCCTACCTTGGAGGTGTTCAAGAGGAGATTAGACAAGCACCTAGCTGGGGTTACTTAACCCCAGTGCTCCATCCTAGAGCAGGGGGTTGGACTCAATGATCTACAAGGTCTCTTCTGATCTTAGAAATCTATGAAATGAAGAAGGGAACAAAAACCTGAAATAATTTATTTTCCCAAAAGTTCAGGGTGTATCACCATTTACAGCCTGTGGGAGACTTTTTTTCTCATTCAGTTTCAAGCTATTTAAATTGACAGTGTCCTTGTAAGACAACATTTACATTTTTAAGGCAAAGCAGGTCACAAATGCAGGCTTGGCATTTTTAATAAATAAAAAGTTACAGTGCTGATGGGCTAATACACTACTGTAATGGGGCAAGTGCAAGGTGTAAGAATCATTGTTTGGTTTGTCAGCAGAAATGGAGGAGACTGCTCACTTTTCAAATTCACGTTTCATTGAGCATGAGTTTGAAAAATGGAGCAGGAAGACTAAGTGTAAAAACTCTCACATAAAAACTAAAATAATTTCCTAGACAAACGGTGCAAAGCACATTTGAAAATACTTTTTCTTTTAAAGCAATGCGTACTTAATATGTGTGTCTAAGTCCAATATAGTTATACCTACTCACAACAAAATTGACTGCATATTCTTAAATGTACACTTTGAAATTCCTTGTATAAATCACAGTACTCCTCTGTCCTAACAGTTATCTTTCCCTTTGGAATACTTCCTGCTCAGTACATAATTCAGTGCTGATCTGTAAGCCTAAAAATGCCATCCTGGGCTTTCACATTTATTATCTGTCATTAGCTGCAGCAACTTGTGCATCATCACTAATCATAAGGGAAAATTCAGCTAGGCAATATATTCTCTCCCATCCACTTGTTGAACTTATTAATTTGTGACAGTGTTACAGAAGCATGAGAGACAAAAATGAACAAAAGCTTTTCCTTGAACACATTTTTCAGTAGGAAGTGGTAGTTTTCCAAAATAAACATTTTTATTTCACTCAAAATTGTACTATTTTTGAAAAGCAGGAAAGCATGAGTCTTGCCTTTGATTTCGACAGGCTTTGGATCACATCTTTATACAACAGTGTGAATGTGTGATATTCTGCACACAATGAAGAACAATCTAGTATTGAGCAAGCACTAGGCCATTATTCACCTCAGTTCTGTCACTGATTTAGCATCCATGCACTAGGTGTCTTCCATTAGATCTTACTTTAAATCGGTGGTTGTAGGAGGTCAGTGTCGTGCTGCCTGGAGCTGAGTCGTGTCTCTGTAGTGTTCTGTCCCTCGAAAAATCACCTGCCACGGCTTTGATGTTTGAAAGAGAAGTGCCAAAACACTCTTGGGAGACAAAAGGGTTGGTTATAGGCTCAAGGAGTCGGCTTTTCTTCACAGGGCTCCACCATCCCCGTACCCTGCCCTAACCAAACCAGATGTTCTGGGTGTGTTGTTGCTCACCTATAATGCTGAGGATTGGGTCCTCCTCTTAAGTTGGTTGCTTGCCCTATTCTTCCCTGAAGAGGTCCCAAGGCAGCCACTTCTTAGTTCTAATCCCACCCTTATCTTCAGGGTCAGGATGGACTTACCCCTCCTTAGGTGTAATCTCATTTGTGTCTTTGTTCTCCTCTAGGTTCCTGAAGTGATTACCTTCACTCCCCAGGACTGGACTCGCCAATGGAGCAATCTTCTCCATTTCTGCACTGGCTTTCACTAACAGGACAGCCTCTTCTGCCTCTTCAATGGCTCTCACCAGGTAAATTGGGGGACCAGAGCTTTCCTCTAAGCCCCAGGGTCAGTTCTCTCTCTCCTCAGTCTCTACTGTCTTCTTTCTTCTTGCCTTGTCTTTCCCTCTTTCCGTCCAACCCCTAATTCTCCCTCAGCATCCCTTTAAATTTCCTTTCTGGTCATCTGTGTCCACTGTAGCAGTGTTCAATTTGCTGCTTTCCGGCCCCCGCTGTTTTCTCTTTAACTTTTCAGTGCAGCTTTTTTTCTCTTCTTTGGCCATGCCATTTTCCCTATCTTGGGCTCAAACCCTGACAGCCGGGTTTGCCATGGCAGCCTTTGATCTGCCACGGCCCCAGCTGGTTCCTTTAATTAGTTGGGGTGCAATGTCTTTCCCACCCTGGCTCACCACGGTTTCCTCGACGTCCCCTTGGTAAGTTTATTTCCTTTGTTCTATTCTTCATGTTCTCATGGCAAGGTGCTTCGACCACACTGTCACAGTGGTTCTTAAACTTTTTAGATGTGAAGCACCCCTCGTTTGACTCAAGGCACCCCTCAATAATTTTTTGTGAATGGAATGACATCCCGTTTCAAAAAACAATTTATTATAATGCTTACCTCCTTGCAGAGGGGCCAGGCAATGGAGGCAGGGCAGCGGTCAGGCAAGGACGAGTCCGAATCTGCACTTATCTTCTCAAATCTGCTTAACTCCTCAGACTTTGCAGCACCCTTCAAAAGATTTTGCGGCACCCCAGAGTAGCCTGGCACCCTGGTTTATAATCACTGCTTTATATTAAAGAACAAGGGGAATTCCCTTTCCTAGGACTAATCTAGAAAACAAAATATTCCTTTTTGACATTTCCACTTCACAAATGAGCAAGCCACATAATATCTCAAGCATAATGGCTGCTGACAGAGATGAAGAAAAAGTGCTTTACCAGAAGAGGCAACACATTAGTTCAACCTGGCTCCACAGC